AAATATGATGAAAAGCTTTTATGTCCCAGTGCATTGTAAGTATTCAATAAATGGCATTACTGATAAAGCATTGTAAAAAAGGAAAGAGGATTAAAAATAACTATCCACAAGCTAAAAATATTGCCATCAAGTCAAAAGCATTAACAGGTAAATTTTTAAATAATAAAGATTCTCATAAAGGGGAAGTTTTAAATACACTATCAATTTAATTAAAGCATTAATTGTCCATGAGTCAATAATATCTATAGCAAAATTCTTATTACAGGCAATAATGACAAATATACAGGATCTTGATTTCAACAGGAAATAAATCTATTTTATTTATTCAGGCTGGGGCTCAAACTTAATTTTCTCAGTTGAGGTCAGTGTTACTGAACTGAGGTAACATATATTTTAAGTGTACTTGAAAAGTTAGATTCTTCAATATATATTTAAATTTCTTGATTATTTTGACTAGACAATAATATATATATATATATATATATATATATATATATATGTTTTTATCCTCACCCGAGGACATTTTCCCATTTTTTGTTCAGACAGAGCGGGAGGGGGAGAGAGAGAGAGAGAAAGAGAGAGAGAGAGAAACACTGGCGTGAAAGGGTCACATCGAGTGGCTGCCACCCTCACAACCCAACCAGGGCCGGGGACAAACTGCAACCGAGGTACGTGCCCTTAGTGGGAACCAATCCCGGGACTCTCTGGACCGCAGGCCAATGCTACAACTGCTGAGCCAAACCAGCCAGGGTGAAACTTAATATTTTAAAACCAGTCTATGGCAGCTACTCCTCAGAAGAATCTTAAGAAAGGGAGGATAGTAATATTTGACAAGCAATCTGACTATATGACCTGCCCTCATTCCTTTCTAGGCCTACAGTTCTTAAAGTGTTAATCTCTTTGTATTGTCTCCCACTTACATACTTTTGGAACAGATGTAATTTTTTAAAAATACATCTTTATTGATTTTTTAGAAAGAGAGGAAGGGAGAAAGATAGAAACATCGATGAAGAGATAAATCTATCGGTTGCTTCCTGCACGCCCCCTACTGGGGATTGAGCTTGAAACCCGGGCATGTGCCCTGACTGGGAATTGAACCGGGACCTCTCAGTCCTTGCGATGATCAATCCACCGAGCCACACTGGCTGGGCCAGATGTAACTTTTTAAAATTATAGTATTGGGTACTAAACAGAGAATCGTATGAAAATCTTCAGCAAAAGTTAACTTTGTGACTTTGGGATACAAAGTTTAACATTTAGGATTTTTCTTTGACATGTCAAAAACTAAAACCATGTAAAACAAGAAGTAATATACATAGTAAAACATATACTCAGAAATATCAGAGCAAAAATATCACTAAGTCCTTAATTTGACACAAAAATGAAATGAGCTTTGCTGTTTTCATTAGGCTAACTGGCTTTTACTTAAAGGAAGGAGTATGAATGTCTCTGCCTAGAACTCAAAATCCTCCATACTCTGAATCTAATATGCCAATTTTGATTCTCATTGTTCTCCAAGAACACAACCTATTGTTTACTCAGTTATCTCTCAAACTCATCAAGTTCATGATACCTTTGCTTACTCAGGTTCCCTCATCCACAATGTATTCCCTTTTCTCCATTTCTATTAATCCTACTCATTCGTTTTTTGTTTTTTTTTAAATCCTCACCCGAGGACACTTTTCTGTTTTTTTTTGTTGTTGTTGTTGTTATTGTTCAGATACAGTGGGAGGGAGAGAGAGAAACATCGACATGAAAGGGACACATCAAGTGGTCACCATCCACACGACCCAACCAGGGCTGAGGACAAACTGCAAGCGAGGTACATACCCCCAAGCGGAAACTGAACCCGGGTCTCTCTGGACCGCAGGCCGATGCTCTAACCACTGAGCCAAACTGGCCAGGGCAATCCTACTCATTCTTAAAGGCACAGCTTGTTTTACTCCCTTCTATTCTTCCAACCCATGGTGGTCTCTCCTAACTTCAACTCCCTTGACTCTTATTGTTCTAAAATGGAAAAACTTGCTGTTTTCTACTTCTTTAAAAATCCTTTTAACTGTGAAATATAATGCACACATAGAAGAGTACATAAAAGAGAAAAACAATGAATTATCCCTAAGTCAATATTCATAAAACCTCCCACAAGTACAGAAACAAAAATCTGTTTAGTACCCAGAAAGCCCATGATTTTCTTTTTTTTTTATTTTATTTTTTATCCTCACCCGAGGATATTTTTCCATTTTTTGTACAGATAGAGTGGGAGGGAGGGAGAGGAAGGGAGAGAGAGAGAAACATCGATGTGAAGGGACACATCGAGTGGCTGCCACCCGCACGACCAACCAGGGCCGGGGACAAACTGCAACCAAAGTACGTGCCCTTAGCGGGAACCGAACCCGGGTCTCTCCGGACCACAGGCCGACGCTCTATCCGCTGAGCCAAACCGGCCAGGGCCCATGATTTTCTTAATCACTAAAACCCCCTTCCCCCTCTGCACACAAAAATGTAACCACTATCCTAACAACAATGGTAATCCCTTTTCTGCTGTTCTTTATAGTTTACTATCTATAACATGGAACCCCAAATACTATATTTTTTTGAATTTTATATATATAAAATCAATAATATGTATTCTTTTGTGTCTGGATTCCTTTACTGAATATTATATAAGAATTATACATGTTTTGTAACAATATTCATTTTCGTTCTAAAAATATATTTATACTCATTTAATAGACAATTTTTATCCATGCTATTATTATTTTTAATGTTTTTATTGATTTTTCTTTCTTTTTTAGAGAGAGAAGAAGTGAGAGAGAGCTATAAACATCAATGTGAGAGAGAAACATTGGCTGCCTCCTGCATGACCCCCACTGGGGATCAAGCTGCAACCCAGGAATGTGTCCTGACTGGGAATCAAACCAGGACCTCTCAGTCTATGGGATGACACTCAATCCACTGAGCCACACCAGCTGGGCTATTTTTTAATTTATTTTTTGTTAATCCTCATCCAAATATTTTTTCATTGGAAGGAAGGGAGAGAGAGAGATACATTGATTGGTTGTGATCCCGCACAACTAGAGCCAGGGATTGAACCTGCAACCCAGGCATGTGCTCTTGACCAGGAATCAAATTTGTGACTCTCTGGTCCACGGGCCAATGCTCTAACCACTCAACCAAACTGGCCACGGCTCCATTCTACTATTGATGGACCTTCGGGTTATTTAATCTTAAAGAAGTATGCCTATTACTTGGCTGGTGTGGCTCACTGGTTAAGCATCGACCCATACACCAAGAGGTCGCTGGTTCAATTCCCAGTCAGGGCACATGCCCAGGTTGTGGGCCCAATCCCCAGTGGGGGGCATGCAGGAGGTGGCCAGTCGATGTTCTTTCTCATCAATGTTTCTATCTCTTTCTCCCTCTCCTCTTCTCTCTCTAAACTCAGTAAAGAAAAAATATTAAAAAAAATAAAAATGTATGCACATCTTGTCTCCCCAGCTAGAATACAAATTTCTTGGGGGCAGGAACCATATATACTATTTTACAGTTACTTTAGTATTTGTATAATGCTAAGCATATATTGGGTGTCCCCAATCATACTAAATATTGCTTAAATAAATCTACAAGTACTTTGGGAGATAAGAAAAAATAAGTAGAGCTGGAATTCAATGTAACATTGTTAGAGATAGTTATGTAACTGACATTTTGGAAAAACTATTACTACTATTACTGCTACTACTATTATTTTAACATATTCAAAGGTTTGACCTCTCCTATTTATTTACACCCAAGGATTTATCCTTTCTTACTCTCCTCGAGACAACTGAAAGCCAAAAACTTAATTTATCATATTCAAAAATAAAATTAGAACAATTATAAAGGCAATTACTATTTGCTCATCTTTGTACAGTATCTCACCGATATGTTGAGTACCCACTATGATTATAGTTCTAAATGAGCTCCTTTATTTTTTGTTATTCTATTTCCTTAAGTTTATATCAACTATTATAAATTTTTTTCTTTATTGATTTTAGAGAGAGAGGAAGGGGGAGGAAGAGATAGATAGAAACATCGATGAGAGAGAACATTGATTGGCTACCTCCTGCATGCCCCCCACTGGGGATTTGGCCCACAACCTGGGCATGTGCCCTGACTGGGAATCGAACCAGAGAACTCTTGGTGCATGGGTCGACATTCAACCAGTGAGCCACACTGGCTGGGTACAACTACTATAAATTTAAAAATACATGAAGTCCAAAGACAGTTTCTCTACAGGACAAAAGCAAACATTCTATTATCTAGGATCAGCAGGAAATTAATAATTTCTATTCAAAACTAAAACAAACAAAATACCTTTTTAGTTCTAATATGCTCTGCTTTTATAGTCAGTGAATGTTTCCTCCGTACTGTGTAAACATCTCAAAACAGTATTTATACCACCTAATCTTCAGACCTACTCTGATATTCTTCTGGAGAGTCAGTTTTGCTTTTTCATTTATTTGACTTTTTTTTTAAGTCCTCATTCGAGGATATGTTTTGCTTTTATTAACCTTAGAGAGAGAGAAAGGGGGAGAGAGAGAGAGAGAAAGAAACAAAGTATGTGCCCTAACTGGAATTGAACCCGCAACCTTTTAGTGTAGGGGATGATGCTCCAACTAAGTGAACTACCCGGCCAGGGCTGGGCCATCTTTTTTAATTTAATAAGAGATTATTTCAGCATTAATCTCACCTGAAAAACTCTAATTACAAAAACTTTACACTGTGTTACATCCTCTTAAATTTTTGAATAATTTTGTAATTAAATTACATTTCAAGTGATTACGCTTCTGGATTTTACCCTCCAAGTATCAGCTACCTTCCAAAACTCCCCATTCCCCATTCAGATGTCTACAGCATAATTCTAAGGCCAACTTAACACTAACCAAAATATTCTATTCTATTACTTCCTAAAAACATTCCAGTATTTAAGTCTTAGGATGGCCTAGCCAACCCAACTACATTACCTCTTTATCTTTTAGTCCCAGGAGCAATACTTCTTCCATAAGTGTGAGGCGAATATCCTTAGAGTCTCCGGAGTCTTCATTGTCTGGACTCCTGTCTTGATTAGTGTCTTCCTCACTTTCTACCTTCTTTTCAGAGTTCTTGCCTACTTCCATGCGACGGGCGCGGTGAGTTAAAGTGGTCATTCTGAACTATTTCTGGAAGGGTAATGAAAAAATATCTATATGTGTGCTTATGTGAACACACACATATATATACTCATTCGTACATACTAAAAATGTATATGAATAAGAAATATTTATAAACTTAAAGAAAGGAAAGAATAATGACCAGAAAAATTAAGTGGGTAACATAACACGGTATCTTTCCAAAGTACATAGCTTAAATACATAGAAGGCACTGGCAAGAAATCAAATCAGTAATCTTAAAGACCAGTAGAAATCATTTTTTAAATCTGTTGATTTCTTGTGCATAATCTATAATTCCGAAGTGACTGTCTATCATTGTGACTCCTCTTACACAAAATGAACTCTCCCCAAGTTAAATAATATGGGACAGCAAACAGCTGTGAGCACATCCAGCCCAAATATACATATAATAATTTATACAGAATTTCTATAAACATTCAGTGGCACATTATAAAACATACACAAAAAACTACAAAGTAAAAAAGTTTCAAAAACTAAATATAAATACATGCTCTAATATTTTCTTCCCAAACCCTAATGACTCAGTTCATGCACTCACTTAGGAGATCATCAGTCTAGAGAATAACACTCAGAAGATCATGTGTATCATGTGTAGTAATTCCATATAGCCAGAAAATGTTCACTATTCCTAGTTAGCCATCTTGCAAACAAAACAGCTGCCAACAAAAAATACTGGCGAGTGTTAAAAGATTAGCAAATTCTTTCTCAATTAAAAAATAAAAATCAAAGCTCATGACCTTTTATACTAAGCACTATAGTTGTTTTAAAAATCTAGTCAAGAGAAATTGCACTGTCATCTGTGATAAAGTTTGTTAGCTAACTTTGAGATAAATCTAAAGCCAGTTGTTAATAAACAATAAATATTTTTAAATCACCAATTATTTAAAAGAATATGTTTTGCAACATCAAAAGAATGCATTCGAGCCCTGGACAGTGTGGCTTAGTCGGTTGGAGTACACAGAAAGGTTTCAAATTCGATTTCTGTTGGAGTGCTTAAGGGAGGCAATCAATGTCTCTCTCTCTCTCTCTCTCACCCATCCCCTCTCTCTGAAATCAGTAAAACATATTCCTGGAGGATTAAAAAGAAACAAACAAAAATGCATTCAAGAACCTCTGCGACTGGATCCCATTCTACCTTCTCGCAATTATTTCCCATTACTCCAATTACCTACTGTGAACAAACCATTTTTCAAAAATGTGCCATGCCTCTCACCTCTACTTCTCTGTACATGCTGGGATTCTCTCCCTTTTCCCTTACTCTTTAAATTCTATTCCTTCTTCAAAGGCCTACTGAGAACCCACTATCAAGGCTTAAGTGAATCACCTTCTCATTACCCATGTCCCATGGCTGGAATTGGTCTCTCTCTCTCTCTCAGCTGTATTTTCACAAAACTTTATTTATACTTACTTACTTTAAAGTATTTATTATTATAGTCTGGCTGCCTCTCAACTGTAAACTTCTTGAGGGTAGGGATATTGTCTTCTTGGTTTTTTTTAATTTTTATTCTCCATAGCAACTAGCACAGTGTCTTTAACGTTGCAACTGCTCAATAAATATATACTGATTAAATGAATATTCAGAAATGCATGTGAACATTTAAAATAGAAATACAAATTAAGCAACTTCCAAAAGATTCTTTGTACAGGACTATATTTCAAATATAATTCTTGGAGGTAGAAAGAAGAATGAACGACGAAGATAACCAAGAAATAAATAAAATGCTTAAGGGCACTAACCTTATCTAGTACTATGAATAGGGCTTATTTCCTACCCATTCCAAGAAACTTTAAATCTTTGGGGGGAGGGGGGGATAATGGAGGATTTTCTTTGAGAAATGAATTACCTCTGGACATTTACTAGTTAAAAACTCCTATTTTAAAAACAAATGCCAAAAGATTAAATAAATAAAAACCTCCCTCTCCCCATAAAATAAAAATTTGGAGGTTTTTTTTTTTTTTTTTTTTGATCGTTAGGAAATGTATTTCCCCAGTTGCTTACCTGACGTTACTCCTGGGTTACGGCCGGAGGGAGGCTGCAGTTGGAGCTCTACTTTAGAACACCTGTCCTCCACCCCCGTCCCCCACCCCCTTCCTAGTAGGTGAAAAACTTCCCAGCCACGGAGTGAGCACAAACTTCCTGATCCTTCGCTGCGGAGAAGGAATAACACATCAGCTTCCTTAGGATCACTAGGCAACCTACCTTGGTGTTTCTTCATTGGACCAATCAGAAACCGCCAAGGTTGAGTCCAACCAATAGGAGCTTATGAGGGGAGGCTCTCCCCCCCGGCTATTGTGTTGCGATCCAGACAAACACCACTAAAAGGAGGCAGGTTTGCGTTCAACCTGACAGCTGGTCAATCCAATGAAGGAACCGTGCTAGAAGAGAGGAAAGAGGGCTGCGCTCCCCAGTCCCGTCGAACCAGCCAATCCAAGCGTTCTGTAAACTAGCTCCAGCTGCCGATCGACAGAGGTTTCTGTTGGTCAATTTCAGTGTAGCAGTGTATACTGGGACAATGAAGTGAGACGTGTTGGGATACAATAAATTTAATAATAAGTAAACATGTTAAAATTGGTTGTTTTAGACAATTGGCTTATTCGTAATTATCCTGTTCCAGAAAAACCTGATGTGGGTCAGTTTGTGGGCTTTTATTTGGTTTACATTGAACAGGATAGGTACACTTCTACCATCGCACACATACCAACATTCTCTATTTAGTGCTCGTTACTGGCAAACCCAAGTATAATGTATATTTTTAAATATGTCTGCTGAAACTCTAAGAAGCAAGCTGACCAAATTGTTAAGTCTTCCTTTTCTAAAGCAGAGGAAACAGTCAAGGCTGGAACCATGCCCCAGGTTTCTCACTAAAGGCACAGTATCTTTTGCACTACCACTCAAAAGTTCTAGGAAGTGTGCTCAACTCTTGCAAAGTAACATCTACCGAAATGATCTCAAAATTAGTGCCTAAACATTTTCTGCGAATCACATAAAAACTGGAAGCCATGAAAGAGACTAGATGCTGAACAATATTTTATTTATGCTCTGCAAAATGCCAGACTTTAAAAATCAGTCATCATTTTGTTTTGTAAAATTTTTTTAAAAAAGGTAAAGCACCAATGTTTCATTGTACATTATATATTATCATGTTAAATCACAGTATCAAAGTACTTAAGAACATTGTTTTAATAACACAATTGCAAACATAGCGAGTTAAATGGTATAGTTCAACATAAGTAAAAAGTTAATTCCTTCCAAAATGTAACACCAAAATAAACATCATTTGTTTCAAAAATGGCTTTAGAGGACCTTAAAAATCAATGTATGTTTAAAGGAAGTGTTCACCGAAATGGAATATAGATCAATATTGAGTAGATAAAAAAAGGAATCAATTATGACAATGGTACTTTTGGTTTTATTCAAAAGTTGTCTTAGCTTTCTTAGATATGTTTAAGGATCACAATATGATGGCTAAGAATTCATTTTAGTGTACTAACTGCTTAATACTACACATAAATTTTCAGAGGTAGGGCAAACACACCTTCACATAGTAATATAGTGTCCTTCAAATGTTGAGATGAATTTTTCAAATATGCAGAAGAAAAATAATGTTTATATGTGTTCCTTGGGTTCACTAAACTTTCTTCTTTTTGGCACTGACTCTTGACTAGCAGAGTCAAAGTGATGAAGAACCTGTCAAAAGAAAACAACTACTAAGAATAGGTATTTTACAGTTTATAATGTCTTTAATTTTAGATTTTTTCTTTCTTCTTTTTTAACAATTATACCTAGCATACCTCTATCCTACTAAAACAGATTACCTGGGTTCTTTAAAAATAGGGTAAATTTTATTATTGATATATTTAAATCTTCTGATGGCTGTTGAAAGTATATACTTGCAAAGTATAAAGTTTTCATTAGGGTTGTTGATAGATAGAGTTAACATTATGCCCTCAAAATAGTAAACTATTTTGGGGAATTGAGAGAGGGAAAAAGGATTATAAAATGAGAAGCAAATAGAGAAACATTCTACTTTGGTACAATGTAAGATTGATTGATTGATTGATTTTTATCCTCACCCGAGGACATTTTTGCATTTATCTTCAGATAGAATGGGAGGGAGAGAGGAAGAAAGAGAGAGAGAGAAAATTGATGTGAGAGAGACACATCGACTGATTGTGACCCACACGACTCCAACCAGGGCTGGGGACGAACTGCAACTGAGGTATATGCCCTTAGCGGGAACGAAACACGGGACTCTCTGGTCTGCGGGCCGATGCTCTAACCGGTGAGCCAAACCGGCCAGGGAGGCACAGTGTAAGATTTAAATCATGTTTTATTTTTGTATCCCTGGTACTTAGCAGTGTCTAATAGATAGCAGACATTCAATGTACATGTTTGAAAGAACGGGAAGACAAACCAGGAAAACTTTCAAGATTCCCTGAGTTCTTGAACTTTGATTTTTCTGGAAGAAACTTACAAAGGATAAAAATTGAATTATTATTTTGCAGAAAAAAAATCAAGGCTTAATACATTGGGAAAATTAAACAATTTAATATATTACTGAAATGTCAGATTATTCCACTCCCTTATGATATGTAAATTGATAATAGTACTAACCTATTATATATTTGAGATTACCCCTTTAACATTTGGTTTTTAAAAATAGTTTTAATTTTTCAGTTGTCTAATTTTAACCTACTAATAATACTAAAAATTCTAGTTGAAAAAGTATAAATATCTATCTCAGAAATGACGAATATATTATCTCAGTAAAATAAGGTTCCAAATATAAAAGAACTGTTATAGGATTTAGGTCAGGAAAATTTTTTTTCTCCTAAGGTACTAGGAAGAAATGCTATATACATATATATCTCAATGAGCTGCTTCCTGCAAACCCCTCACTGGGGATCCAGCCCAAAACCTGAAACCGGGGCATGTACCCTGACCAGGAATCAAACCCGGACCTCTCAGTCCATGGGATGACGCTCAATGCACTGAGCCACACAGGCTGGGCGAGGAAATTATATATATATATATGTGTGTGTGTGTTTGTATAATTTTTTATCCTCACCCGAGGACATTTTTCCATTTTTTTGTTCAGATAGAGTGGGAGGGAGAGAGAGGGAGAGAGAAAGAGAAAGAGAGAAACACCTATGTGAAAGGGACACATCGAGTGGTCGCCACCCGCACTACCCAACCAGGGGCAGGGACAATCTGCAACCGAGGTATGTGCCCTTAGCGGGAACTGAACCCGGATCTCTCTGGACCACAAGCCGATGCTCTAACCACTGAGCAAAACTGGCCAGGGCAATTTTTAAGGAAAATGTAGATTTGGTAACTTATCTGTTTATACTTTAGTTTTGATCTCTAGAAAGCTCAGATCAAATTTGTGGCCCAGAATGAAGCTGAATGGAAGTCCTACAACTACAAAATTAAAGAAGCAGCCACATCAAGACTGGTAGGAGAGGCGGAGGCCCTACAGGCTGGTCCCACGCCCACGTGTGGAGGATAAAAATCAGGAGGATACCTCGGCTGGGAAGGTCCTCCCTGAGGACTGAGGGGTCCCCATCCCACACCAGATGCCCCGCTCAGGGTTCCAGTGCCAGGAAGAGAAGTCCCCATAACTTCTGGCTGGAAAAACCAGTGGGAACCGAGGCTCAGGGAAGGTGACGCAGCTGGAGCCCCAGGCAGCTCCTTAAGGGGCCCGTGCACGGACTTATCAAACTCACTCCCTCTAAGCTTGGAGGGGAGGCAGCTCGAGGGGCACCACAGATGTACAGGAAAGAACTGAGCTGTTTGGCACTGGTGCGAGGGCTGGAGAGGGGGCTTTCTCCGGGACAAACGTGCTGTCAGAGGCCTTTGTTCCTTTGGTGAGCCCTTCCCTGGGGCGGCAGACAGCCGCTATATCTGGGACTCCAGCAACCTGGCTCACACTGGAAGCCCCGCCCTGGTGATTCCCTGAGGCCCCGCCCCACCCAACTTTCAGGCCCACCCAAGCTATTGCCAGTTGTTGAACCATAGGATTGGCCTGTCTTGGATCCTGCTTCAGGTTTTCCTAAATTCTTTCAAACAAGCAGCATCTGGTCTCAGAGAGCCCCATACCTCTCGTTAAGTAATACACAGAAATAAACACAGGGAGGCGGCCAAAATGAGGAGACAAAGAAACAGGTCCCAAATGAAAGAACAGAACAAAACCCCAGGAAAAGAACTAAGCGAAATGGAGATAAGCAACCTAACAGATGCTGAGTTCAAAATACTGCTTATAAGGATGCTCAATGAACTTAGTGAGAACCTCAGTGAACTTAGTGAGGGCCTCAAGAGCATAAAAAAGGACCAGTCAGAAATGATGGATACACAGTCAGAAATGAAGGAGGCATTAACTGAAATAAAGAATAATTTACACAGATTCAATAGTAGAGTACGTAAATCCAAGAAGCAAACCATCGATTTGGAATATAAGGAAGCAAAAAACGCCCAATCAGAACAGCAAAAAGAAAAAGGAATCCAAAAAAAATGAGGATAGTGTAAGGAGCTTCTAGGACAACTTCAAGCATGCCAACATTCAAATCTTGAGGGTGCCAGAAGGAAAAGAGCGAGAACAAGAAATTGAAAACCTGTTTGAAACAATATTGGCAGAAAACTTTCCTAACTTGGTGAAGGTAACAGACATACAAGTCCAGGAAGCACAGAGAGTCCCAAACAAGATGAACCCCAAGAAGCCCACACCAAGACACATCATCATCAAAATGCAAAAGGTTCAAGACAAAGAGAGAATCTCAAAAGCAGCAAGAGAAAGGCAGCTAGTTACCTACAAGGTAGTTCCCATAAGGCTGTCAGCTGATTTCACAAAAGAAACTTTGCAGGCCAGAAGGGAGTAGCAAGAAATATTCAAGTGATGAAAAGCAAGAACCTACAACGAAGATTACTCTATCCTGCAAAGCTGTCATTTAGAATCGATGGCCATATAAAGAGTTTCCCAGACAAGAAAAAGTTAAAGGAGTTCATCACCACCAAACCGTTATTATATGAAATGATGAAGGGTCTTTTTGAAGAAAAAGATAAAATATAAACAAACAAAATGGCAGTGAAGACACATCTGTCGACAATGGAATCTACAAACAAAATGAACAGGCAGAACAGTAACATTCTCATAGATACAGAGAACATTTTGTTGGTTG